ACAGCCACAAAGGAGCAAAAAAGCACAGACAAATCGTATAAAAAACACAGCAAAACAATGTAAAAAAAAAAAGAGAAACAGTCCTAGAATGCTTAACAGGTAACACCGATGGATTTACTGAAACAGATGACACAAAAAACCCAAGAAGCAGGCAATAAAACCCAAATAATCACATAAGATAATTTGTGAATCACTTTACCAGACAGTTCCCCGCGAAGATTCAACCACAAAACAATAATGCGTGATCGATAATTAGCAGAAAAGGACAAAATGAGAAATTCTATATAGGCACAGGACAAACTAGTGCTGGCGAGGGGAGCGATGTTATCAAGGCAGTGCACACTAAAGCAGCCAAGCTGGTGATTTTGCAAAAATGAGTCACAACATATGAGCAAGTGAAATTACGGAACACTACTCGAGCAATGTCAAAAAAAAAGGTTGCAAAGGCGATAACAAGATCCACTTGAACGTCCACACAGAATTATGAGGAAAAAAGAAGTTAAAAGTAGAAAAAGAGAACATGGCAGCTGCATCAATCGCAAGAAAGAATACAATGATGAAACAAGAGTTGATTAAAATACTAAAACAAACGTGTTCACTACTCGGGGAACGATAACTTCAGACAGAGGAACTCAGCAATTAACTGCACGATCGAAAACTTTCTTGAGTATACAACTTCTTGAGTGATGCCCCACAGAGTATACAAACTCTAGAAGCATTTGCACTTATATCCATTATTTGACCCAACAGCACATTTTGTCTACAGCTGATTATCACAAAGAGCCCAATTCTCTTCCAACCGCTGGGGAGCATAAAAAACCAGTAGCGATGCGCACTAGGGTTGCTGGAGTAAAACTGGCTAAAATGCAATGTAAAATAGTTTAATATAATGTGATACAATGGGATGATGTGGCGCTAAAAAGTCACTGCAGTGAAAGAGGTGCTTTTTAGGCCAAAGGCTAGACGCCTAATACAAAGATACTTTGTGGACTGTGGCTGAGCAGTGCAATGCCTGGGCCTTTAGTGATCCAGGAACATATACCCAACAGTAGACAGTCCGAGACTGCGCACTGCACTTAACTAAGTAACTGCACGACCAGCCTGAGAAGCCTGAACCTCTTTGCCTTTCCATATTATGATTTAGCGCTTTTTGCTTAGCCCTCCAGAAGCTGCTTTCTTAAAAGGTTTCCTTGATGGTCCGAACAGCAATACGAATGCCACTCATCTACCGACGATGAAGACAGCCCTAGAGTCCGGCCTCGATGAAAAGAATGATATGCTGCCGCCATACTGGTCGTTCTGGTGAATATACACTAATCCCGTTGTTTGCCTTTCTCGTCTCTTTTATACTGTCCGCCAGGTAAACCAGCCGTTCATACTTTCTCACACTGAAGCGACTTATGACTCGCTGTGTGTTAGGTCCTATGGTGTCGACAAAAAATCTGCGAAATGTGCGGAGACATCTAACAAAAATTTTAGGCCGATCATGAAGAACTAAGGTTGCGGAGGTAGGAAGGGGAACCCTTTCCAATATTCAGAAATTTTTATATTTTTATTCACCCAGCTTTTAAATGTAACGATTCCCCAGAATGCTGAGATGGTTTACTCCGGTGCGTTAATGCGTTTTTGCGATCAGCTAAACCGACAGCAAGTATTCGTGAGGTTTTGCAGTGGCCGTTGTGAATGTGGCTCAGCAACGTGTCAGCAGCGTTTTGAACCGACTGATTTCGGTAAATTTTCGAAAAAGGTGTTGGAAGTTGTACAGTGAAGATGAAGGCCCCGAAAGAAGGGAAGGTTTGTACAAATGGGGTAGCCCGACCTGCCCCTCAGGAAGCGGAGGAATATGAATCCTTCCGGTTGGTACGAGGATCGCACCAGGTCAGAGACCCCTAAAAAAATTGTTTGTGGCAGGGTGGGTTTAAAATAACACCGGAAGGGAGTGGAAATGTAGGAGGTAAGAAGGTGATAGGAAATAAATTTCTATAGTGACTCACGCAACAAAAAAGATTTTATAGAGGAACTATTAACAAATATTTATACAACTGCTTATCTGATCAATGACAATTTTGCTTTAGAATTTTGTTACTACAGCAGGGTAGAATTTCTGATATTAAATGTGAAAATGTTTGGCCCCTATAGTGATAAGGACGGGCCAAGAATAATGATAAAGAAGAAGTTTAAACTTCTTAGCCGGTTGTGTGCAACTTCAAATTTTACGTAACTCTTCGCGTGTGAAAAAGAAACGTATACTAAAGCTGAATTTAGATCTTCTGGGCGCGCACAGACAAAGAACATTCTTCTGCAATTTCGGATACCTAGCCTTTCCGGGTAGCAAATTCCACGCCAAAAATTTTACGCATGCTTAAATGAAAGCTAAATTTAAATTTTCTGCGTCAATTACAAGTAGGAAGAACTAGAAAGCTGGAATTTCTCAAAATTCCAGCTTCCTAGTTCTTCGGGCTCCAGTGCTGGAATATTTCCCGTCAAAATTTTCACGTGCTCGTGTACTTCAGGATTGGATTTGAAACATTTAGATCGTGCATAAACGGAGAACATCTTCCTAAAATCTCACCTTCCTAGGTTTTTTGGCACATGAATTAGCCTCTTTCCGGCTAAAACTTTCATATGACTGTAAGTGGGACGCCAACCGTTCGAAGATTGATGTCATGTTTCTGAAATCGTACTTGGACAGGGCACATACTAGCAAAGCTTTAGCATCTAAGCTTGCACGGCTGCCGAACTGAAATACACGCATACATACACATACAAACACTCATCATGGGCCGTCACAACAAGTGTTTTTTTGCTGAATGTTGCAGCGCGACAGATCTGCATCGTAAAAACGCACAAAAACTGGGCAAATACGAAAACTCGGCTCGGCTGAGCTGGTAACCTACGGTGCTTGGGCCTTGCGGCTCCCTGCTCTATCATCTCTGCCAAAACTATTTCGCAGCATCGCTCGCTGGAACTTTGCCAGACGCGTTGGGCAGC